AAGGGAGATCAACATGTTATTTACAACGTTATATTCCATGCAAAGGTTGGCATAGAATCTGCGCAACTCAAAGGTTTTCAGTGTATATCTTTGTACGTAATTGAGGAACGGATTTCCTGAATACAATATACGTGAATCTACGTTGGATTGATTCCTACAAATTTATGTATTTTATGTCACCATGGCGATCAGATGGTGACTATACAGGGGAAGTATATTCCGAAATGATATGAACGCAAACAATGAATAATCCTGTGAGCAGGGAGAGTAGATGTGATGTGATAGACCCAAGTATGAGATTAGTTCTGAAAATGGCATTCTTCACAATATTAAGGATGCGTTCGTTAAATTGAGTGTGTTGCTGATCGTGATGCGTAGTTCTCTAATGTAGGTGACTGCGTTAATAGTAAAACCATTTATAGTTGATATGACGTTAGGATTGTTGTCACTGACATGCATGAGATTGGCTTTGTTTGTTGCTAGAGGTGAATTAGATTGGTGTGACCATGATGACCGAAGCGATAAAAGACGAAAGCTCATGTGGTGGATTCCTTTTCTGGTCAGTTTCAGAAGCAGATTTCAGCCTCTAGTCAGGCTGAGTTTACATATCCACTTTACGTGTGAGTTTGAACAAAAGTTCACCTCGATCTGTGCTCTGATCAAAAGTATTTATAAGACATGCTTATTACGAAGTGCAGGTTCGGAAATCATATGAGACTTTTGAGACTGTTGAAGAAAGGGTTAAGCAGCGCTCTAGAATGAAAGATTTTTAGCAAGCATGTGACTGAGTGCGATCATCGTGCATTTTGGATACAACCAACTAGGAACACAGATGTTGCTATCAAATTGGTAAATACATCATCATTTCGATATTTTATCAGTAAAAATATGCGTACCGTCTGATTGAAGGATCATGGACATTTTTTTGCCACTCACACTGTGCCTCTTCTGATAAGTTGAAAGTTACGCAGTAGTTTTTCAATAAATTTAGCAATACATCGGCCAACCTGACACCTTAGTTCGGATCAGTAATCCCTGTCATCAGTTTGTGTAGGTAAGGAGAAGAGTCACGTTAAAGTTTCGTGCAATTTGTCTGAAGCGGTCTCGAATAATCTTGAGAAAAAAAAACCATTTTGCATTATGACATCGGTGCATTCATCCGAACACTTTTTGGAAGAACTTAGAGCAGTTGTGATGCCACAAGTACAGTTGGGTCGGTGGTCAGCGACTGGGGCTGGAAAGACTCTTTTCGTTGGTTGTGGAAGATCGGGTCCACCAAATCGCCCGTCCATCGCTAGCAACAGACCATATGTGCATTTTGCCGTTGTTAAGTGACAGTTATTGCAATGCGCCTTGACCCACCTTCATGCTCTAAAACACTAGGACGCTCCATTCCTTTTCGATAGTCTGGCAAGGCAATATTACCCTTGCCCTACGATAATTTACTGTTTCCGCGCATAATGTCAGAAGTAAACTGAAAACCGATCTGGAAATTCAAACTGATGTTAATTCAAAATAACCTTTGCTCAGGTCTTGATGACATAAAGATACTCAGAAAATAGGAGAAAGAAAAGTGTTGTCATGAGCGAACCGAGTTCAGATACCTAAGTGAAAAAACATCATCACAATGGTGTGTGTTCCGTCATAACTAGGGTTTGCATGCATCGCGGGATCTCGGCAAAATTTTTGGTTCTTGCATCGTTTTACTGGTTTTC